ATAACACTGATAACGCCCTGATGGTGCAGTTGTTGCTAAGAGGTGCTCACTCCAAATCAAGGGCTTTTCAGTTTCCTCCTGTGAGGACGTGCACAAGGAGCCAGGAGGCAGCATGGCCAGGACACAGACCCAAAGTAGCCAAAGACACATTCACAGCATAGAGCATCGTGCCCAGTATATAAACTGTGGAGAGCTGGCTGGGAGCACTGGTGGCTGCTTGGGAAAGGACTGGGCATTTGTCAGCAAGTAGGGAGTAGTGTATCGTGCATCATTGTCATTCTGGGGTTTATTTTTCTCTGTCTTTTTGTTCTGTCCTTTTTCATTGCAGTTATTTTTCAAAGATTTTTTGTGGTGTTCTTGTTATTAAACTGTTCTTATCTCAACCCACAGGTTTTACCTTCTTTTTTCCTGATTCTACTCCCTGTTCCACTGGGAGAGGGGAGGGAGGTGAGCAAGTTGCTGCATGGTACTTAGTTGCTGACTGTGGTTAAACCATTGCAGTGAGCAAGAGATTTGGTTTTGAGTTCTTCCAGTGTCTCTTAGGACATCCTTTTCAAATTATTTTCTGTGAACTCCCCAGTTGCCCTCTGCTTTGTTTTTTCATTGTGGAAAGCTATGATGCTCTTTGTCCTCATCATTAAGTTAAAGGATGTACAAGTAATAACTTTTGCTCCTTTGGTATCCCTCCTAGCAAAACACCGCTCCCTGGTGGCTCTTCTATAGCATGGATTTCAGGGTGGCAGCCTTTGTTTCCAAAAATCGAGACAACAGGAACATCTGTGTTTGCCATCTGCAAGCCATTTCCATTTAGGGTACCAGGGTTGGTTGCAGGGCTTCCAGACATTCCTAGTGCCTGTTCCCCTGGGTGCACAGGGAGGAGACAACAAGTTTCTAACTATAATACTGCTGCATGTAATTCTGAACTCTTCAGCACATCCTGCTGTCACTGGAACACAGCCTGCCCAGGTCTGTCTGAACACCCACAGCATCTCCTCTCAGTTGTGTCTGGGCACTCGTGCCTGCATCCCTTTGTATGCAGTCTGCTTTTTGCTGTTCACAGCAAGGTACTGGTCCTGGCAAAGCAGCCAGGTGTTGTGAAAAAGACCTTCCCTATTACTGGTCAGCCATTATGTGCTTGGAGAGGTTTTCAGTTTCAGATTTTTTGAGAAGGTCAAGAAAGGATTGTTTCTGTGTTTTTTTTGTTTTTTTTTTTTCCTGCAGAATTATTTCTGAACACAGCAGTATTTACTACTTACTTTCCTAACTCCTTTTAATCTTGGCAACTGCCATTAGATAAAATAATGAACCGAGTTACTTATTCATGAAGGCAATGTAAATATTTGTTTTCCACTATATTCCAATAAAATAATGTTGTCGTGGATTATTGGCAGTAAATTATTTTAAGTCATACATTTAAGAGTAAACAAAACTGTATATGTGAAACTATCCTTGATTATTTTTCATGAAGCTTCTTACTCTTTTATCAGTGTTGCTATGAAATCTGAAATCTTAATGCTCGTATTTTGATTTTCAGTTTCTTTCTTTTTAATTTCTATTGCAAATGCTTTCTACTGAGAAATTAAACAGTTTCCTGCATTCACTGCTTCCCTTCCCATCTTCCAGTTCTGGCCCAATTCTGATACTGTCATTTATATGTTGCCACTTGTAGTGGTCCACTGAGTGAATTACTATTCTCTTGTTTAGGTCCTGCATTTTACATTTGACTCATGAAAAGTAGTTGGGGAGGAAGAAGGGCACAATCTCAAATAAACCTTTTTTTTCCCCAAAATTTATTGAATTTATTTGCTACTCTGAGATAAAACAAGCGAAAGGTGGATGCTCTTTAATTTCCAGTGTGGTTTTTTTCTCCAAAACAGATTTTGTTTTGATAGAAATATTTTGAATATTACTCCCAAGTGTCACCTAGACCCCATCTACATAGAAAGTAGAAAAAGAACTAGGACATTTTACACCTATATTAATAATTTTTCCATATAAAGTTATTGCCTATTTTAACCTGTGAATCCTTCCCCAATAGATGGCAATTCTTTTACTCAGGCACAGTGATCTCACAATTTCATAGCCTACTTTCTCTGTAGAGGGTACATTTATCAAGTAGGAGGAATAGGTCTTTCAAGGATGCTTCATAGACAATTTGTTTTGTTGTTTTTTTTTTAATGGATGGACACAATCTCAAGCAATTGGCAAGATCCTGAACAGCTTGAATAATTAAAAATTGGTGGCCATAATCTCTCAAGTGTTGATATCTTTTTCCTCTTTCAAGTAAAAAGCCTCACTAAGTTACAAACATTAAATTCTTTCTTACTTTGAGAAGTCTCAATAAACTTCCTTATGATAACACAGGTCTCCAGGACCTTGCTTTTCACACTGCTTAACTTTCATGAGCAGGCAATAGACTCATGATACCAGAAAGTTGAAACCTGAGAGCTGTTTTTCAATAGAGTTATTTAAAAGGTTTTTTTGGATTGCAAGTCTTTATATATGGTGCAAAATCTGAAGCACAAAATGCAAAAAGTTTCAGCTTCCTCCCAGCACGTTTTCATTTTGAGTAATGGTTCATGCTATGTGTTGCAGTTCTGAACAGAAGATGTTTAGAGCCATTTAGACTTGACTACCTACAGTGATGTTTCTAAATACATTTCAAGCTATTAGAATGCAGAGCCACTGGCTCTGTAGGAGGAGTGCTGAATGGTCTGGCACTCTGATGACTAAAGATAAACTCTTAGCAGCCTAAATTTAGGCACCTCATTTTAAAAACTTTGGCCCAGATATGTGAACCCAGAAGAATGAGATACGATAATTTATTTCAAATTCCTTGGCTCTTGCATCTCCCCAGACTGAGCATTTATTCATACAAATTGCTCACTGTTGCAGATGAATCACTAAATGTAGCCAGTGCAATAACTCTGCACCTGAGCATTATTTAATTCTGCTTTGCTAATGCTAGCAGCACTTTACTCTTTCTCTATATGTTACAGCACCTGGGTATTTTGGCTTTGTCTGGATATATTTAGGAGGTGAATAGGGAGAAAATGCACATATTTTTCCCCTCCTGTTCGTCACTGCTATCTTTCCTAAGTGCTGCTGCTCCTCAGGTGGTCAGCTTAATGTTCCAGCTTAAAAGAACTGCAAAGGGGGCAGTTACCAAGGGGACAGTTTTTACTATATGTTTAGGAGAGGATTATGTTGCTAGAAGTGTTATCTCTAGTGGTTCTTATCTGCTTTGACACCAGGTTTTGTTGCTTTCTTGTAATGTTCTTCATGATGAAGACAATTACTGTGTTCTGTCTGTGTTGATTTTCCTCTTTTGATGAGTTTGCAGTTTCTCTTGGGATTTTGTCTCTTTAAAGGAGTATTTCAGCTTGTGGATGTGAGAAATGGATGGAGGTATGCGTGTTGCCCGCAGTTTTCTCTTATGATTGTGTGGGGTACACAAATGAGCAAAATTTTAAAACACAGTCACTTAGGCAAGTAATTTATACCTTTGTTAAGGACACAGCGTAAGCTAGGATTAATGTTAAAGATGCGGTGTTGGCTACTTAGTGAAGTTTAACTTCATTTTTTTTGAAGGAATCAGATATCCCTTAGCCTGTATTAAGGATGGATCTGTTGTCATTCCACTGCAGCCTTAGAAGTTGTGGGCGTTTATTCTAAGCCAGTCATCTGTAGTCAGTGTCATAAGAGAAGGTGATTCATCCCATCTGACACTAAATATCTGAGAGGCTTATTATGCAAATGTGTTCTGAAGAGGAAGGTGGTTGATGATGTTCCTGCTCAGCCCAGTGCTACAGTCTACAGAGCCTCTCAGTACCACTGCAGTCATTTTTGAAATACTGTGGAAATTATCCAGGTTAAAAAACAGTAACTGGAAGTATTTTGTTCATTTGCATTTGTTTGCGTTTTTTTTTTTTTTTTAACTAGGTTCATTTCAGTGATTCATAGGGCTATTTATAACAGAGAGATAAGAATATCTGTTCAATAAATGGGGTCATACTGGCACAGAGAAAAGAAGTGGTTGATGGCAGGAACAGTCAAAACCATGTAATGAACTGCCTCCTGAAATACATGTGTGCACTGTTTTATTAGGAGAGATGAACACAATGTAGTAATTGTTTAACCGTGTACTAAGCAGGACATTAACAATATCAGTAGTGTACATCTCTCCATGCTTGCTATCACTTTATTAGACTATTAAATGTCTTGAAGTGAGCTTATCTATGTCAAACAAAGGGGATACTTAGGAACTTCTATATATATTGTGAGAGCCTTCAACTGAGATTCTCTCTCTAAACTAGTAGTGCAATCTTCTCCAGTTTTAGCTTCCCAGTGGGTTATACATGTATAGATAAATATGCAAACTGCTTAGACAGGATGTTTCTTTATAATATGTAGCGGTTATCCAAGTTCATGCCAGGAATACAAAAGAAGTGACCATGCAGATCATTACTTTTGTCTTGAGCCTTACGTAAATATGAAGAGAGAATGAACTCTCATATAAATGTATGAACTTCCCTTGAGCATCTCACTGTCATGTTTTTAATTAACTAGGCTAGTTAACAGATAAACTATCAGAGGTGTAATGGGCCAGAGACAATATATTTTGGGAGGCATATTGAAAAGAAATCCAGCTGAGTAGGATGCATTAGATATATAATAAAGAAGTTAGATCTCCTGAACTGCATGTTCCATGCAGTTATTTATCACAGGATCCTTTATGCTGAAGTACCACCCTGCCCCAGAGTGCTTTTGTGGTACATGAACACAGTGAGGGTACTTTGATTTAAGAACTGAAGTCAGAGAAATGTTAGTTACTGTTCCATGAAGCAGCAGAGGAAGAAATGAACTATACTGAAATAATGTCAGTAGCAATGAAAACAGTCCAAATGAGCTTAATAGCATATTTTTATATAAGTTCTTTCTGGAATATATTTTCCGTGTTTTATTTATTTTTATTGTTATGTTTCTTTTTATTTTTGTAGGCTGTGGAAACCAACCTTGCATCAAAGGATAGTCACTGGGTCTATGTAAATGAGGTAAGAAAGTCAAAAGAGAAAACACAGCTTGCTACATTCACTCATCACCATATTTTGTTTTATGTGTTTTGACACACCAAACAGAGCATACATGTAACATTTTTGCTTTTTGAATAGCACAAGGTTCAAATTCTGTGGTGTCATTGCTTGTCTGTCTTAGTTAAATTGGAATAGGTTGCACACCAGAGGTCAAGATAAAACTTCCAATATACCTCAGAGCAGCTGGGAGACTTATTTTTACCTTCCTGCTGGCACTATTTCATTAGCTATTTAGGAAGAGGAGAATATCTCAAAAGAAATCTCAAATACAGGCATCTCTGGCAGAAGTTCATCCTCCATTGCTGTGAAAGCCTGCACACAGATGCCAGGAGAGGAAAGAGTGCTTGCGAGCTTAGTCCATTCAAATACGTATTTACATGATACACAGTCTTTTTCTCTAGTGCAGAACTGTGTTGATATATTGGCCAAGACCCAGAATAGCTTAAATTCAAAGTGTAATGTTTCCCCTCTGCAGCAAATGGGATCCTGTCCTGCTACAATGATTATTTATTTTACCTTAGTGCCATGATGCCCTAATGGGAATCTGTTCGGATTCGTATTTAAAAAACAATGAAATGTCGTACCATATATAGTAACTTACAAATCACTGATAAATGGCAGTATTTTATAAATTCCTTGTTTTAATAATGATTTATTTAAAGATAGCAAAATATCTAATTTGAAAAGAACAGTGTTCACTGTCCTATTTTTATATTATAAATGCATAGCCTCTAATTTAATAGCCAATTCCTTTGTTAATTTCTCACTCCTTTCTTTGCACCTCACTAATAATTTTGGATAGGCAACTTTTAATAGTAACTCTAAATTGTATTGTGTGGCATTAGACAGGCTCTGTAATTAAATGGGGGTTAGGGAAAGCAAGTGAAATCCCTGCTTGTAAAGGCTTTATAAATTCTTTCTAGTCCTTGTTACATTTAAGTACCTCCTGGCTTGTCAGTTGCTGTAATGACCCACTACAAAACATCAGCAAGATGCCCAGAGAGTCAGTGTTTATATTCACATAAAGATAATACTGTGCATATTTCCCTAAACATTTATAGAGAGGGATTGTTTGTGAATTTTTTACTACTGCTGTTACTGTTCACATGTTAAAATTCAATTCACGGAGCCTGAATCTGTAACATTGTGATAAAAGCCTTCAGCACTCTGCACTAAGGTGTGCACACTCGTACACACACAAATCACACAGAGTGTCAGTTCTGCTTCTCCTTTGGAAGCTTTTGTTTTTTCTCCTTTGTGGCTAAAGACTGGGTAGGGAAGCTGTGAGAGCAGCATGTGAATTTAGAGTACAAATTTCTAGTGAAAAATATCAGTGCACATAATTTATAAATATCTCAAAAATGCAATTAAGTCCAAACAATTAGAGAAGCTTTTCAGACTCACAACACTTTGGAGTAGTCTTTGCAGGCAATAGGAAGCAGAAGTGTTTTGGCTGTTCTTTCTTTCAAAGAAGTGCTGGAGTTTGTGTGTGTGCATAAACTACTGTGAGAAGAAGGTGCGTTGAGCATCTCCATGGATGCATATATAGAAAGATGGAGGTTCCTTAGGGCTTGCTTCTTATTTGTGCATCCCCGCCATGCTAACAAGAGGACAGACTGATTAAGCTTTCCATGTACATGTTTCCAGTTAGTGGTAGTGGGAACTGCGTGAGTATTTGATAGAAAAGATGATGCTGATTCTTCTGTGATTTTCAGAATGGAATTAACTTTTAATTCCCTACAGTCAAATCAGTTCTTTTTGATGTGTTTCCGTGAGAGTAGAAGTCCATTATGCAAATGGACCAAAACCTTAGCTAATCCTTTTTTTGTCCAGGGCAGATTGAGGACCCTACACTTCCCTGTTCATCCTGGGACCTAATGATCCCATTGCAAGGAAAGAGAGATGTAGGGCTGGCAGATTGAAGAGGCAGTAGCAGGAAAAGAACACACAGACAATTTTTTCCATGGAGGTTCCTGATGTGAAGAGCACTGGATTGTAAACAGGCTTTTCAGGCCTTTTGCACTTCAGGGAGCCATTGAAGGGCTTTGGACAGCTTGGGCTACTGACATCTGCTGACCCAGAGCACCTTACAGTGTGCTCTGTCTCCCACCTCTCGTCAAACTAACGAGGACCTGACACTTGGACTTACCTTGCTATAGTAAGAATGACTGTATAGCATGGTATTATTTCAATAAGAGATTTTATTATCTTCTTACTTTAATTAAATCTACTTTACTCTCTCTGCACTGATAATCCAATAAAAATTTGTGTTCAGTTCTTTTTTTTTCCCTTGGGCACCTTCCCATGTAGTTGAATAGGAGTTAAGTTTTAGAGGTAGAACGAATTTTATCACTTAAATTTTGTTAGGTAAGCAAGATCACCAAGCTTTGGATGAGCTAACTGTAAATCTATATGACTGGTAATTACACAGCAAATGAACAAACAGCTGTATTGACAGAATCCTGTTTGCTAGTTTTCAATAACCCAGGTCTGTGCAAAAGTATCTGTTCAGTTGGATGCCATTGCTGGTGAGAAAGGACTTGGTCATCTTTAGAAGAAGGCTGGTTAATTGGGAGTTAAATTTATTGTGTGGAGTTGGAAGGTTGAAACATTACCCGGCAGGTTTTCTAGGGTAGGAGAGATGGATCTTTTCAGGCAGTATCATGCCCTCATATGTCCTCTTTGCAGCCAAAGTCATGAAATACCTACTGCTTAAAAATACATATATTTGTGTGTCCACTTTTCTGGTTTCAAACAGGTTGTGTTTCAATATTGCAATAGCTGTCAAAAGTAGTGGAGGTTAGAAGGGGAAAAAAAGAGAAATATTTCTAACTAACCATCCCCTTTTTGATTTATATTTCATCATCTGCACTTTTTGTTTTTATTCATCTAGAAATGCTAAATCATTCTTTGCTTTCATTTTGGTAGTGATTCTACCTAAATTCTGGGTTAAACATGCCAGATAGCTTTTTAAAAGCAAGAACACTTGTGATTCCTGTATAAATCTGTGTAAAAGCAAACTCTTCCAAACAATGACTGCTACATGCTTATCTGTGTCTCCAAAATAGTCCAAAACGCTATTATCATTGACTGTGTGGGCATTTGTGAATGATTTGCAGTTTTGGAAGATCTCTTAGAACATATCTGGTGTTCTGCTTGAACCTTTGCTGTTTGTACCTTTGATGGTTGAAGTGACCTGCCAGCTTTGATAGACCTGTGCTGCTGCTCCTTTTGGCAAGACTGGAACAGTTACAGACGGCCCCTGTTTTTTGGATGTTTATTTCCTGGGTTTTTCTTCCCTAGTTTTCTTTATTATTTTGATGTTTCTCTTACTTTTCTTTCTCTTTCATACTTGGCATTAAGTGTCTCTGTTGGCTCCTCATGACATTTTTCATTCTCTCCTTCTCTTTTTCTGCCTTTTCTGAGAAAATGCTGTGCCTTGCCCAGGGCGTGCGTCTGTGGGAGAGGTACAAGAGCAACACTTGAAACTGAATTTGGATGTGGTTGTAACCAGGAGCAGTGCTCCAGGAGCCTGTGTCTCTTTCTTTATTAGCAGCAGCAGTAGGGCTGGGACTATAAAAAGAATTAGAAACCATATTTCCCTTTTTGTGGGACATTTCATGGTTTTAAAATTGTCTCCATCCCAAGGTAAAGAAAAGATAAATATTCTAGAAAACTGGAATATGGAACAAAAATGTAATCAAATTAAACACAGTATTTTATTCCCTTATATCAAAATATTTAATTCTAATTCCAGATTTCTACACATTCACTGTTTTTACATATAAATCAGTACAAAGAGCAATGAACTACTCTTCCTGGAAGTGGAATGGTACAGAATTCAACAGATAATTCAAATTAGTTGTTGCACTATTATGACATAATTTCTTTAATTTCTTTTTTAACTTCTTTTTTATTCAGTAGTTTAATTGAAAGCTGTAAGACATGGTCAGGCAAAGCACAGGACTACTCATTGGTATAGGAGAACACTTTTTGTGAAGGGTAGGTAGGGATGAAAAAAATGCAATGTAGTGTAACATGTCAAGGCCATCTGTAGCCATGTAAAGCTGAGGAGAGGTGAGGTGCTAACCTTTGCCTGGAAATATGCAGAAGGCACTGAGGAAGACTATTTTTGAAAGTGCTGGTTTTGATTTGTTTTGGTTTTTTTTTTTTTTTTGACAGAAATGTCCCAAAGACAAGAAATTAGGGTTGGGATACAGACAGGGCTTCACAAATTTCCTTTGACTGGCATTTCTGTACATGTTTAAAATGTTAAGGCAGCCATCAGTTCAGACTTCATTATGGCCAAGGAAGAATGGGCTGTGGAAGCCAGAAGATAGCTGGTGTGAGACTGATTGTGCCATGGTAACATGCACTCTTTGGAGAAGAGAGAGAAGTGGGAAAAGGACCATGGGGCTAATGGACATCTAAAGATTGTCCAACTTCACACCTCTGGGAAACTCGTAATGCTTTTGGAAAGATAACACAGTAGGTAAAGAGTGGCTAAAGAACTGTGGGATTCTCTGAAGATGAAGGCATAACAATGTATCCTTATGGTGACAGTGGGTTATCGGCACAGAACTTGAAATCAGAGATGAATTCTAAAGCAAAAGTTGTTTAAGAAAAGGGCTAGGGAAGACTGTAAAGATGTAAAAAAGTAAGGGATTATAAAATAAGGCTGTGTTGCAAAATGACTCATACCAGACATCATGGAAAGTAATAAGAGAAACATGGAAAGTAATAAGAGAAAGTTTATATATAGCAGAAGATAAAGAAAAGTGAGAGGTGATTACTTGAAAAATGGGGGTTTAATATTTTTAGTCAGTTCCCTGATTCTGACTTTATAAAAACTATTAATTATGATAAAATTGTTAAAAACAGATTGTTGTAGTTCCAGTTGTTTTAGATTAATTTGAAGCACTCCATTGGGTGGGATTTAATATAGAGAAGTGTTTTTGCTT